TACGGGAGAGTTGTTATGAAATTATTCAGCCTCCATTTTATTTATAAAGTTGTCAACAATCCTTTATTAGAAATGATTTATTATTATTATTATTATATTACTATTATCTATATCGTAGCATAATTTATACAAATATTTTCACATTTAACATTAGCACATAAAATATAATAATAAATTAATAAATATAATAATTAATTAACTTGGGCATTTAATAATAAGTGTTAAGCAATTAATATAAAAATAATATATTTATTTTGTTTTCTAATATTTTATTTAATTTCTTAATATGTTGACATGAAGTATAAAAATATTCCATGAAAAATATTTGGAAGATCGTTACGAAATGCACTGCATTTTGAAACTGTAGGAAATCATCAATGGACACCTTGGAAAATTGAATGATCATAACTCCAATAGGCTCTGTTATGTGGCATAGTTCTTTACGTTTCTGTATATTTTTAAAATTTGGAGTCTCACTTCAAAAAATCCCAAACTGTAATGGAATTTATACTAAGCATTTTAAAGCTATAGGTCACAATCCTGATAGTAGCAGTTATAACATCTATATATTTTTTCCAGCCATCTATCTGGTTTGTCAACTGTAAAAACGTGCGTAACTTTTTTAGTTCTCTATGCGCCAAGTCTTTCGTTTAAATAGCAGCAAAATTCTTTGCCTTCTATACAGAAGGACAAAAGGACAGCAAGAACAGGACAGCTTTATTAGCGAGTATTAAAAATGATAAATATATCTTAATACAATATCAATGCTGATAAGAGATGTTGAGGTTCGACTGACGTCTGGGGCATGCGCCCATGCTCCTCCCAGTCGAATTAACTTAACGGGCCAACAAGTGTTTTTGGCCATTGCATAATGGCCATAAACAACCAGAAGATTTACATATTTATGTGTGCACGTGATATTGCATAAGCATAAAAAAATGACGCAGGCAACTGCAGTATTTTGGGCTCGGGTCCACAGCTCATCAGAGGTCCAAGTCGCGTCTCTCCATCGCCAGATCAAGGTCAGTGAGGCGGCAAAGAAAATAACGACAGCCACGACGAGTACATCAATGGCGAAATTTCACCAGCCGAAAGCCGAAAGCAAAAGGCCAAAATTGAACACACACAGACCCAGCCCCGCTGTGAGCCACATTTTTGGACGTATTCACGTCTTTTCTGAACAACTAAATACACAAGTAAGAGCGCTCCAGTAAGGGAGTGTCCAGCCAGGAAATGCATGTAGCCGCTTATGAGATACCTTTAATCTGTCTGCAAGTCTGCCTGTAGGTCTTAAAAGTATCGAAACCCCTATCGATATTTATCGATTTCATTTTACATTGATTGAGTATTACAATGAATTGATTGGTTAATAAGATTTATGGCTTTACTTCTAGCTTTTATAGTCTAGTTTATGGAAATTGAGAAGTTCATCTAATCAGAGAGTTTGCAACAAAATATATATAGTCAATAAATGAGTGAAAGGCGACGAAAATACCTTTGCTTATGCTCGTATAATGTCTACAGGGTATAGTAAAAGGTAGGAAACGATTTGGCATTTTTACATGTTCTGCTTCACGTGCCGTAGAGCATGTGGACTACCTTTTGGCAATCTAATATATCAGCATTGCAGATCTGGACAACACAGTTGCATCAGCTGCCAAAGGCGACCGGCAGGTGCTCAGCTACAAATATCTCCGAATCATCGCTTAATACGTGAGAGTGAATGCCTCGCCCATGTTTGAATATGTTTAAACGTATTCGAAATGTAACTACACAGCATCGTACAAGGGGCAAACCCCAAATTTCGAATTTTATTTTTTTTTTTACATCTTATGAGTTGAGTTGTTTTGACATTACATTTTTCGGAGAAATTGTTAAGGAAATGAGTAAAAAATAAATAAGTTGCCAAATAAACATATTTCTTGAATAGTAAATAAATAATGGGAAGTTAATACTTTTAATAATATTATTATTTTTTATTTATTTTATAGTTTATTATTATTATATTATTTATTATGTAATTTTACTTTTTTAAATTTGTTTTTCTAATTTATGCAAGGTCTCGGATCGATTTTCCGTTTTGTTTGAAAACTTTTGCATCTATGTGTGAGCTCATAAAAACATCTATGTTTGTATTGAGAAATTCGGAGAGTATTGTAATATCAAATTGTACGTGCGATGGGCTGCTTTTGAACTTAGGCAATGCCGCTCATTGTGAGCACGTCGCCGTGTCTTTTCCCAACCGACTGACCGAATTTTTTGTAAGCGATGCCTAATACATTATAATTCTAACGGTATCTGACATTTGTCACTGAGCTGGCCAAAATAAATATTGTTATTATATAAACTTTTTATAGCCTCACGATATTCAGTAGTTCAGAAAGTTCCAGCTGATGGCAATAGTTGATCTGTATAGAGCGATATGCTATATCGTATGCTATAAAGCTAAAGAGAGTATTTAAGCTTCGTATTTCCCATTTGCTTTACGCTTTTCGGAAGTTTTCAGTTGTGTTTTCAACAAGTTCAAGTTTGCCCACAAACAACTTAATTACATGATATTTATTTTAATTGCTCGGTTGGGTCAGCAGCGATTATACTATAGCTAACAGAAGAAAACTTCAAATTATTATAATAAATAGCAATAGTAACGTTTACTGTTGTGGCTAAGAGTTGGTTGTCTTCAAATCTTTCTGTATTCCATTTGAATGTTGTGCAGATCGAGAGGCTGGGCTTGCTTGCTTGCTTACTATAAAAAATTACCTCATGTTTACGCAATGGGTTCCGGACTGTCGTCCCAGTGATCTGGGGTTGGCCAATTTACCAAAGAGTTGGCTAAATGTAAATATGTACTTGTTAAAGGAGAAAGTGAAGCCGTCGCGTTGTTTTATTAAGATATTTAATTTTTTTTATCGAAATTAAAAATATTTTGCACAGCTTGCATAGTGTTTAATTATTGCTGTCTGTGTGCTGCTACCTGCCAGTTATTTGCGCAAAAAGAGAGTACGACAGGTGCAGCCAACCTATTTTTGAGATCTGTGAATAGTTTGCGTCAATATTTAAAGAAATGCCAGGTGCCAGATGCCGGGTGCTGCGTGCCGGGGCGCTCAATTCATTTCTCATAACTGGTGAAATTATTATGTAAAAATATAATGAGCCCACCTTTGGATTTTCCTCAATTGGCTTGTCTGTTTGGCCAACTCGTGGCCCCGTCAATGTCACATATTTGATACAGCCGGAATGGGCCATAGATCCAACAACAACAGCGTCAATTGCCATTACTTATTATTTATGTCAGCGACATATGCCTATAAAGAAATAATAATTAAAGTTTGCTTTATGTTCACACCGTGATGGGACTTTAAATATAATGCTTATATATATATATATATATGTATGTACGTTTGTATGTAGTAATTGATTCGGAGCCTTTAGTATTTATTCTTGGCTCTTCTATAAACCTCATTGAGCTTATGCTAATTTCGATTTGGGGAACTCATACAATGTAGGTTGGCGCATGATTCAATGGCTCTACGACCTTAGCTCTATAAAATACCTGACATTAGACACGAATTTCTGGGTCTGATTTGTATACAGCTCTGTGCACTTCAAAGATCTTAAAGCACGAGTGTAAATATTTTGACAAATTAAATTTTTTTTATTTACAATATTTGCTAATAGTTAAGTGAGGTTTGGATGATTCTTAAACGATCGGCGAGACTGAAGAAACTCTACCAGGTAGATTTTAAGATCTTAAACTAGTTCATTAAATATGAACTTGAGATCTAAATGCCATCCTTAACGAGCTTAAATTTTTATCCGAAGTATATTATGAAATAAATAAATTTTTAAAAAATTTCTGACCATTTTTCGATCAATAAATATGAAATTGTTTATATATATAATATATTTAGTTTATATAAATATATGTATCATATGCGAAATATATATGTAGATATGTCTCTATTATATATGTATCTCTTTATGTACTTATATTATTTTGGAGGCCAAGGCTGTCTGTTGTATGTGTGTGTGTCAACTTTATGCGTGAACTTTTTGGCACCTGACCAACGCCCAACAGCAGCGGGCGCCACCGACTCAAAAACTTTGCGCGTTACTGTACATATTAATATACATACACACATACAAGCCTATGCATATCTGTGTTATGCATAGTAATGGCTATTGGCACTGTTTTAATTACAGCGAACAATTAAATATTATAAAAAATATGTTTATCACAGACAATGTCTGCTCATTGGTATATGCATATGTATATCTGTATGTTTACCCATATGTATATATATATATGTATATTTATACATGTATAAACGTATTGCTTATGTATGTAAATGGATATGTATAGGTGAGTGGCTCCTTAGACTACAGAATTGAGTAATTCTTTTTATTCCAAAGGTTTGCAATGCGTCACCTCAATGCGGACGTGGACGTATGATAGCCCAAATTCGAACTATAATTGCATTTCAAATAGGTGATCAATAGCCTTGCCGCTGCACAATGCTCCTTGGTTCATGTGATTTCTTATGTGGCACACATATTTATGAGACTTTTAATATGCAGCAGTGCATACAAGTGCCGATTAGTTGCACCTTTTACAGCCAATTATCATTGGCGAATCACTTATTTTGTGCGAAAATACAGTGCATGCATTTGAGAGCATTTCAAATTGTAATTAGTATTACCATAAACTAAAAATGTAAACTAATATAAACATAGATATAGTTTAGGCAAATACAAATTTAAAATTGTATGCCACAACAGCAGTCTTGGCAAAGCTTATTGCTATGGCACTTCACCTCTGAATTAATTAGCCGACCTCCACAAACAATCGAATAACAACCATGTTGTACATCATTATAATGGAATAACACTTTCAATTGGTTATTACTTTGTTTAATAAAGTAATCATAATTAACATCTATTATAAAGATGAGAAACTGATCGCTTGCAAACACAATTCATGCATATATTTCAAATAATGCGTTTAAAAATATATTAAGAGCACAATCAGGATAATACTAATAAAACTGTACGTATCATTCAGGCATAATCGCAGTAAGCTAGTCAAGATTGAAAAACAAAAGCGTCAGAACACGCTTGTTAATATTGCGCATTTCGCTGAAATAAACGTGAGAAAAAACAGTATTGGTGTAAAGTTTGTGGTTCATATACCAACGAATCAAACCTGCAAGTAAAACCAGAGTTATAATGGGGCGCCGCTGCTGCGTTGCTGAATGCCCCTCTACGTCGCGTCTCTTTGAGCACCATGGCGTGACCTACCACTCATTCCCGATGGACGCCGTCATTCGTGCCATTTGGATCAAGAACTCCCGCATAAGTCTGGACCGGCAAATCACAAAAAGTGTGCTTGTATGCTCACGTCATTTTCGACGCCTCGACTTTAATACTATACGCAATGGAAAGTACTTGTTGAAGCCGCGCGTCTTTCCCACTGTATTTCCGTGGGGTAAGATGGAGCCCGCTGAGATAGAGGCTGATCATCGGGCCTTGCAACAGGCGACGGTGGATGGTGCTGGTGTAAGCGGTGCCGCGAACAGCGCCAATAACGAAGACGTCATTAAGGCAACTGTTGACCAGATTGTTGCCCAAATATTAGCAGAGACAGCGGAACGTAATGCTGCAGCGGCTGCAGCAGCAGAGGCTGCCGCTAAGGCTGAAGCTGAAGCAGAGTCTGAAGGCAGTCAAAAAGAATCAGCAAAGGAAGCCGCCGTCGACACCGCTGTTGTTGCGCCATCTACAGAGAGCACAGCTGTTGTATCCGAGGTAACAACCGCTTCAACTGATTCGGCCAATGAAACAGTTATTGCTGCCAGCAACGCGTCTTCGCCCCTTTCAAATACGCCACCGAAATACGGCTCACCCACAAACCTGACAATTGGAGCTCGTCTAGAGGCGTTGAGCGTCGATGGCGCTTGGCTGCCAGCACGCATTGTCGAAGTTAATGAAACGGAGCAAACGCTACTGATACGATTCGAACGCAACAACAAGCTAAAGGTATCACCGTCGACAAGCGGCAGCTATCAAGAATGGATCGCCTTTAAATCGGACCGCTTACGACAGCGTATCAGTTCGCGGGTTCTTCCCATTTTCGAGCTGGAGGAGAAGTGCATGGCGCGCTGGTCGGGACCTCGAAAATTTCCGGGAACCATCAAAAAGCTTCTGGGCAATGACACTTATGAGGTGCTATTCGATGATGGGTACACAAAGAATGTTCGTGCAGTGCACATGAATAAATTGCCACGCCAACTCTCGGCCAACATAGAACCAGATGTTGAGACGCAATCAACAGACTCTGCTTCAGCTACAGTTACTGTAAAAAGGCCCAGTACTAGTGCCTCTAGCAGCAACAAGAAAGCCAAGGTGACTCCTCAACGCAAGGACTGGCCACTGCTAGACATGTCTAATTTGGACTTGGGTATGTAGACACATTCTGGCGCACAACGCTTTCCTTTAACTATGTGTAAGCTTCGTGCTCTGAGCCAGTTACGTTTCTGAGGTTGCTCTGAATTGTAACAAAGAAAACAAGTTTATGTATATCTATTAACCTTTATCTTAACACCATTATATTTCTTTTAAACTGTGCAGCGGCTTTGGGATTGCCGGAAATACCACTTGATGGGGAATGGACATGCCATTGGGTGAATGATCAGCCAATTGGCTCAGAAGGTTTTCTGATTGTCGGCGAGCACCAGAAGCCGACGGTCATTGTGAACGACTGGCGATTGCCGCCTGGTTGGATCAAACATATGTACCAACGCTCAAATGTGCTCGGAAAATGGGATGTCATTTTAGTGTCGCCCAGCGGCAAACGTTTTCGCTCCAAATCTGATTTAAAGGCGTTTTTGGAGTCACAGGGTCTGGTCTATAATCCGGATGTGTACGATTTTAGTATTCATCGCCGGCGAGCGAAAGACATTAATGCCTACGTCTATACGCATGACTACAGTCCACAACAGCCAGCAAAGCCGAAGCCAATGGACGTGTCCCTGGACACATCAAAAACAGAGTCACAGGAACTTAGCAACAACAAGCTATCGACAGCTGCGTCCTCATCAACGCCTATATCACCATTGAGCACACGTCGTGGGGCAGGCGAGGACAGTCAGTATATGGAAACACCGGTTGCCTCGCTGATACCTCCTGCGGAATTGATGTCACCGTCGCCACGTGCCCCAGATAATGAAGCACCGGCTCATGCAGCTGAATCAGTCGATGCAACCCCTGTGCTACCCGTCGATGAGCAAGGCACCTTACTTGAAGACGGTTACGGTGCGTAAACTGTGCAAAAACAAAGCGAATTCTGGCTAATTAATTTTCTGTATTTCAGTATTTATTGGCGGATTGAAGGTACAGATAACCGATAATTTGTTTGTGTGCCCCAGTGAAGGCTGCGGTAAAACTTGCCGCAAAGAGGACTTTCTGCAAATACACATACGACATTATCATAAGGAACTAGCACAGTAAGTTACAGGTTAATTATAAAATATTTATATACTTTTATTGTTGTATTTTTATAGACACTTCAGTCACTGCCCGAAGATGCAGGAACTGGCTGTTAAACGCACTCATCCGTCTTCGATTGAACAGAATGATCAGACGCCGAAGAATCAAATACCGAATCAACAGTTCTTTAATAAGATGCACCAACAAGATTTACAGCAATCCCGATCCTTTCGACGTCAACCAGCTGTTACGGAAACATCGCCAACAATTCGTGACGGCTCGCCAATTGTTTCGCCTAGCAACCGGTTGTCATCGCCTAAAACGGAGACGCCAACGACACCAAAAAGTACGCCACAACCAACAAGTGGCACTCCGGAAGCTGCTGCAAATGTTGTACCTCCACCGAATGTAGACGTTTCGCCTCTTCCAGCAGCACTGGAGTCGACTAAAGTGACTACACCAGTCGCAACAAACCGCTCCGCCAAACGTTCGCGTCCATCATCCAGCAAGCGCTCGTCTGGCTCCCGTAAAAGCAGCCGACAACGCACACAACGTCGTTATGCAAATGTCGCGCATGACAATATGCCTACGGCAAATACTGCGCTTAACTCACCAGCCTCTGGAGGAGATTACGAAGATACCCGACAGTCGTTTACTACGCCCACACCAGATGTTCGTAATGATGCCAAGAAACGCCGTGTAGCTCTCTCTGGAACGCCGGCTAGCTCGCCTATAATCGATGCTATGTCAACACCATCCTCTAACGATCTGGTGGATATAAATGCAGCATTGGCGCCACCGCCGCCCCAGTTGACCAGCCATACGCCACAGTACATTAAGGAGAACGGCGAGTTAATACGTATAGTGCGCATGAGGCAGGAAGAAATCATAAATTGCATTTGTGAATATGGCGAAGAGGATGGTCTCATGATACAATGTGAACTATGCCTTTGTTGGCAGCATGGTGCTTGTAATGGCATTGTTAAAGAATCGGACGTACCGGATAAATATGTCTGCTACATTTGCCGCAATCCGCAGCGAGTACGCGAATCGATGCGTTTCAAGCATGATCAGGACTGGCTTTTCGAAGGCAAACTGCCTGTTGCTGGGTATCATACGCCGAACCCTCAGACATCTAAGAAGTTCGAGTTGTTAAAACGGTCACACACGCTTACGGGCAATTTGCTAGATGCTAAGCGTTCCATGCATTCTCTGTTAGTAAAAATCAATATTGCTCGCAATCGTTACCACCCCAAACTATATCTGTGGGCCAAGAAGTGGGACGAAGATCAGGCTGAGAACTCAACCACTCCTGTCAAGCGTCCAAAGGCCGAACAGCCAGACTGGCCGCATGTGCCGCAACCGGAAGCTGCAATCGACCCAGAAGAGTGCCAATACCGTTTAATAGAACACGTTAAGATACAGCAGTCGTTGTTAATGAATCGTCTTAATGAGATCGAAGGAGAAATGGATGGTAGCTACTTCCTGTTGATAAATCTCGATATTTATTTAAAATGATTTCTTTATCTTTTAGAGCTGGAAAAGGAAGACACCTTGCCCGATTTAAAAGATGCAAATATGTCAACAACGAAAGAGGCCATGGCAACGTTTATAAAGGAGCTGGAAACATTAAAACGTCTTGCTAATCTTAACAAGGTGGCTAATATGAAGCAAGCATTAAAGAATCAAGAACCGTCAACCGATGTTGCGCAAGCGTGAACTAAAAATGACAATTTTAAGTAAAAATGTACCTTAAAAACCATCTAAATGTTATCAGAATATGAATATAAATATGAATAAAATAACAATGCTTTGTTTGAAAACCAGAAAGATGTTTATGTAGTATAGAATTGGGATGTAAGGGCTTAAAGTCGTATGACTCAAAAACAATATTTAAATTAATTAACTCCCTTGTCAAAGCTATGATAAATAAATAAAATTAAAACAGCTGTGGAGCTATCGAAAGTATTTTTGGATGTCGATTGCGCTCGACAACTATCGAAAATTGTGGGAACAATCGAGTGCAGCTCTGCGTCTACTCTTCGTTAGCAACACACGTGTTGATAGTTGTGCGATTTATTTTTACAAGTTATTTGTTTAATTTGTAAAAATGCGCATAGATACGTGCTACTTTTGTTCAAGCAAAATATATCCTGGACATGGGGTACACTTTGTCCGCAATGATTGCAAAGTAAGTAACAATTAAAATCGGTTTATCTAGACGCATTCGAATGAGCGTAAACATACAATATATAATTCTTACCATATGCTTTTGCTTTTTCTAGATCTTCAAATTTTGTCGAGGAAAATGTCATAAGGCCTTTAAGAAGAAGAAGAACCCACGTAAGGTAGCATGGACAAAGGCACATCGTAAGGCGGCCGGAAAGGAGTTAACTATTGATCCTAGTTTCGAGTTCGAGAAACGCCGCAATGTGCCCATCAAATACAATCGGGATACCTGGCAGAAGGCAATTACAGCAATCAAGAAGGTTACAGAGATTAAGGAGCGTCGCGAGAAGCACTTTGTCATGGAACGTCTGCGTAAGGGCCGCCAAGTTGAGATCCAAATGGACGTTAAGGACGTGCAACGAAATATGTCGCTTATACGTTCACCAGCCGCTGGCTTGAGGGAACGTCGTGCCAAGGAAGAGGCTGAAGAGGACGCCCTCATGGACGAAGATCTGCCCGAAGAGAAGATTACTTACGTAGATGCACGCGAGCTAGAAAAGAGACTCGAGGAGGGTATGACAGAGGCGGACCTAGAAATGCTAGAGTCTTAAGAATTCAAAACATTTGATATAGTTTTAGTTTTAAGTTTACTGCGGAAAATAAATGTACAAAATATGCCGTAGCACATATTTGTAGAAATCGATTTAATAACAACTACCATTTCTATTTATCTACACATTCTTCGGACTGCTTCGGTTGTGGTGACTCCAATTCAATGGTAACGGGGCCATCATTCTCTATGTGTACTTGCATATAAGCACCAAACTTTCCATCTACCATAACAAAACAAATTCAAATTTAAAATGCGAATATTTTTATAAACTACTAATATTACCTTGGATTTTGCTGGAATCGTATGACTGACGCAGTCGATTCAAAAAATGATTATAGAGCTGCTCTGCATCATCTCCTTTCATGGCCGCAGAGAAGTCTGGTTTGTTGCCCTTCAATAGATGATATAATGTGAATTGGGATACACACAGAACTTCCAGCTGTAAGTCCTTGACAGACATTTGCCAACGTTTTCCTTCATTCTCGAACAGCCGCAGTGCGAGAATCTTACGCACGCTAAAGTCTCAATCAAAAATCGCCACTTAATGTCTCATTAAGATATATTTACCTACAGATATTCTACATCTGTTAGCGTATCGCTGGACTTGATGCCCACAAGCACACAGAGTCCAGGTCCAATATTAGATACCAGGTCATCCAGAACTATAAGTTGTCCAGATTAGACTTAAATTAAATCGATGGAAATGTATCTTTACCCGTGACTTTGGCGGCCCTAACACGTTGGATTACAGCACGCATCAAGCTTCAAATCTTTAAAAGTTGAATATATAAAAACTTCTTAAACTTTATATGCCAATATGGTCTATAGTTACTGGCACTCAGCTGTCCCATTTATCGATATAGTTTATCGATGAATTCACTTGGCGGTTTGGTTGAATAACAATATTTATATTTAATAAACAATAAAAATTAAATACTATTACAATAAATTGGTAAAGACAATAAATTGGCAATATATATAAATATAAGAATATAAATTGGTACTTTGTAAGTCTTTGAGCAATGGGTTAAGAAATACTTGACCAACGCATTGGTTTACGGAACGATTTAAAATCAATTCTTTTACAATTAGTTTTATAATATTTATCTACCAAAATTAGACTTTATATATTGCCAAATTAAATTTTTTTATCACAGTGGCGTTGGCGACATTGGAGTTGAATTTATATTCAGTTTTTTCTCACACAGTTTCTTAATATGTATTTGGTTCGTCATCTCCGCCTGTCTTAAGATCTTACGTATGTCTGTCAGGCGATCGTGTTTGTTGGCTAACAAGTAAGCTGACTTAAGTTGACCAATATAAATGTATGACGATATGCGCAGCTCCACTTTCCCAATGCGCTTGATCAATTTGTCCAATATATGCTTGGTCTCTGGCTCGTTGCTGTTCACAGCAGCATTGACGGCAATCGAGAGCAGCTCATCCGAATCCGAAGCACTGCTACTGCTGTTGCCGTTGTTGCTAGTTATGCAGTCCAACAGACGATCTACCTCGCTCAGGCGTTGATTTTTTGACAAATATTTGGCAGTTGCGCCAAACACTTTCATGTGCGCCAACTTGAAGTCTTGCATGATGCTGCGAAAGAAAAGATAAACTATGCAATCGATGGTTAATTAGAATAAAATATCTACTTACCCGTAGGCTAGGCCAAAACCCTCGTCTATGTTCTTGCCACATAACAGTACCAAAATGCACAGCTGAATCTTCTCGGCAGAGCCATCAAACAATGTGGGCAATGTACCGCGAGGTGCCTCTGGTCGAATCTGTTTCAATATTTGTAATGTGCACAGCATACCACCAACTGGCGGTTGCTCTCGTTCGCACTGCGCCAAAAACTTAACCAATTCTATTTGTCGTCGTATCGTATTAATGTGGCCATTTAGAGTACGTGCATCTAATTGCATAGCAAAACAAGTGGTGCTCGCATTACAGCTGACAACGCTGGTACGTCTGCTCCCAGCTAATTGCTGCTCACGCTGAAGGTGCTCCCACTGGGCTAGGTCCAGTTCACCCTGCAGGTGCATGTGTGCTGACATCAAATGTTGCGCATTTGCATGCAACTTTTGAAAGTTATCGCAATGCAGAGGATAGAACTTTACGCAAGTCATGCTCGCGCGAACAGCATCCTTTAATAGTAGCTGCAATTGGTACAGGGAATTGAGCTGTTGCTGCTGTTCCAAGTATCGGCATGTCTGCAATAGCGGTACGCGCCAAGCACTTAAATGAGTATCGGAATCCAACCACTGTAGTTCTTCAATCAGCGCCGGTAAACGACCACCGGCCAGTGATACCTGGAATATATGTTGTATGAAGAGTTCCGATTCCAACTGCTGAAGCTGCCAGTAGCGTAGAGCTGAGCGTAGCTCGTCGCGCTGCATTAAGAATTGAAGAATGTCTGTGTGGCTGCCATAAGTAAACACGTAATGAAGAGATTCTTCAAATGCGCGTGAATGACGATTATCCTCGGTGGAATTCTGTACAGTCGGCTCACCATATTGACCCTTGGCTATGTGTTTCAGATTGGCCAATGCGTTAATCACATTTAGTGCTGGTTCCCGCAATGGAGTCTGCGCCACGTACGGTTCTCGGCGCCGCGAGAATAGCGAGGCCAGTGAGGTATTTGAATTACGTATGAGCGATGCACGCTGCAGAGTCTCCGGCTGTGGCTGTGCTTGAGGCATTGATGCAATTAGCTGGAGAATCTCCTGTAGTAGAGCAGGTCCTCGCTGCGGACGCTTTTTGGTTTTGGCAAATGGTAACGATGCTGCTGCCTTCAAGTCCTTTCCGAAAATATGTTTGTATATGCAACTGTTTTGCTCATCGGTGGACAACCGGGTCATACAATGCGCAAACTTTTCACGTGCTGAAAAATATCTGATTATGGAGTGAGTAGTTAAAGGAGACAACTAGATTTGGTCACCTGCATCATAGCAACCGGCACGTAATGAGGCCAACCCGTGGGCAGCCATCACACCAGTGGTAGCAAAGCCCCACTTTAAGTGCACATCCAACGCTAGCTTCCAGTGCTCTGACTCGATAAGAGCGTCGCCCAATTGTCGTAGGCTATGATTATTCAGTGGTCCTGCTGGTATTAGCGACTCGCAGCCCTGCTGTACCACGGCCATGATGATTTCCGAATGTTCACGAATGGTCTCAAATTCAGCAGGAGCACCGAGGATCTTCGAAAGCAATACAATCATGGACTAAATCGAAATTATGTGATATTTTGCGAGTTACCTTCGCTGCCAATGCCAGGCGGTTCATCATTTTAGCTACAAGCTCGTAGTCGACCTCTGGATTCGGCACAATAAGTTTCTCCAGCTTCCGACAGTGAAATAGCAACAGGTCCACACATTGCCGCTGATCCAAATGATGTCTCAATATGGACAGACTGAGTGCCACGCTGGGCGCATGCTCATAGCAGAACTCCTCGCGCAATAATTTGTCATGTGTAATGATGCCGCTTAGACACCACTTATAGACGTCCGATGAGCCTATGGCAGGACGTGGAATGACTGCATGCGTTTCGTGTTGGACGTTTATCGGTTTCTCGGCAATTACTGGTTTATAGCATTCATTACAAACGCGTACCTCCACATCCCCATATAGCTCTGGAATGGCCATACGTTGAGTGGAGCAGGCATAGCAAACAACACGACCACAGCGACGACAATGATGGCGACGCATCAGCATTGTAAAAGCGGAACGGCGACAGCACATGCAGTGGGTGGCATTTTCATCAGGTATCCACTGGTCGCGAGTTGGCGCCTGTTGAGGCATTTGAAAGGCGCCACACAGCGAGTCTAAAGAATTGTGGACGTCAGTACCCAAGGAGCCCGGTTCTGAAGCCACTCCACTGCGCACATTGGCTATCTGGTAGTCCAATGCCTTGCTGGCATAAATTCGCAACAACAAATCTAGGCAATCATTGCTGACCACATGATCTTGCTGATATGAATTGAAATTGAGCAGTATGAAAGCCTCCGAATTCGTCTGACCCAGCTGAAAGCGTATCTTGTCTCCACTTTTACCGACGGTGGCACCAGTGCTATGGACATCGTAAGCATGACCACGCTTTTCAAAGCAATAGACACAGGGTCCCAAAGGCATGCGCTGCAGCAGCTTTGCACGTGCCGATTCCAGCAGCTTGGTGAGCAGTTCAAAGCGCGTATTCATGACCAGCTGCTCGATAATGAGCAACGGATATCGCAAGAGAGGCCAGAAATGGTGGCGCTCTCCGTTAGGCATTTGCCGTAGTAGCTCCAGCGAGAATTGATAATTGAGATAAGGACGCGAGTCGCGTGCGTTTACCTCTAAATAGTCAACCAACCACTGCAAGAGTGGTAGAGAACGCATCTTATCTTTATGGGTGTCCAGAAAGTTGACCAGAACCGTAGCTGGAAATAACTCCGCTATGCGTATCAAATGTGTATCCAAATCATCATCATCGCCCAGCTCTAGGAATGAATCCAACAGTGTGAGGAGGCAGACACGCTGCTGGCCAACTGCATTCGTCAACTGCACCATGCGGCACCACTCATAGCACAGCTCATAGTGTCGCCCCTGCAGCAGCTGCTCAAAGATGACGTTTGGTGTTTGACGACCAAAATCGTAGGCCTGTGGCCAACTCTCAAATTCCAGGAGCGCCGATACTCTAGCATATATCGTAATATCCGACAGCGTGTGCTCCAGTTGAGTGCGCAACTGTAGAGGAATAGCAAGTGCCGCCGATCGATGCTGAAGCGTGTGCTCGATTAGCTCTTTTGCTAATTGACTGCTAGATATTTTGGTGAAATGCTGCTGCAGCAGCTGAGCTCGCTGTCCCAAATCCTGCATATACGAAGCTAACTGTATGTGTCGAGCATCTTCTGCAATCAGTTCACTAATTAAACTATCTATGCGTGTCTTCAACCTGTCCGCTGGTTCTGAATAATGAAAAAGAGTTAAAGTCTTGCTGCCACTATAAATACTAAATGCATTCCCGACTCACCAGCTTGTCCGCCAATGCCTAGCAAAAGAATTCGCAGCTGTAGTTCCTTGCCGCATTCCAATTGCGCCAATGTAGCGCTGTCTACTTTGTAGGCATGCAGAGCAGCCATAACAAGATTGTCTTGATGCATATGCGCAAGCGTCTCTATTTCGGGCAGTTTCATCAACTGCCGCAGACAGTTAAAGGTCAAGCCCGCTTCGGATTCGTTAATTACTGGAAGTGCACTCAGCTGCACTGCCTGCAGTAATTGTGCCAGCAACTGGTTGTGTTGTGAAATGTAGTTGTGAATTGATTCCTGTTTTTGAGGCGACACCGAACGTGATAACCTTTTGCCCCCGCCATCCAACAACTGTGGACAAATGTTTAGAGCTATGACATGCACAAGATTCAGATGAAGTGCTGCGACATTGCTTTCAATCTCAAGTGGAGTGATGTTGCACTCGTAAATCAGCTCGCCAATGACTTGGTAGGGATCATGACGCATCAGCTGAGTGTTGTGATACTCTAGATTGGGATCGCGCAACTGGAGAAGACGCGACAGCTGCTGCACGTAACTGCAAAAGCGTGTGTAGTAATTCTGTCGCGATTTAAGCTGCTGAAAGAGCGCTGAATGGGCGCGCAGCTCCTGAGAATGCGCATAATCTGCCGAGGCCTTTTGATAGAGTGTTGTAAAGACGGCCTCCCGCTGTAGCTGCAAGGCCAACGCTACTGGCCTCAGTGCATAGCTGTGCCGGCAAAGTAGCTCATTAAGTGCCGATTGACGACCAGCGTGCTCGAGCAGACGCATGCACTCACAGAGATTTCCCAATAAGTACATGGCGCCCATCTCTCTCGGACTGGGTTCACGAGATCTATTAGTCGCAGATTGCTGCTGCTGCTGTTGCTGCTGCTGCTGTCGTCGTATAACCAGCAGCAGATTGCCAGTAATTTCGCGATTGAAGCGCAGATTTATAATCAAATCAAAGACAATCAGGGCGTTGAGATTGCGCTCCTGAAACTGTTGGAGGAAGCCATATTGACCATTTGCGCAGTGACGTTGTAAAAGTGCCTTCAATTCGGCGCTGTGTTGCAACTTTTGCGACTGTGCAAAATTGTCCACCACGCTGATAATTTTGGATAGCTCAAAGCCCTTAGCAGCCACACTTTTGATTTGTTCGACTGTGGTGGCAGCGTTGCTGCTGGTAGCATTGGCTTCGCCAGCCAATGTTTCGTAGTTTGCATAGATATTGGCCAGTTTTTGTTTAATTAGCTGTTGATGCTCCATGAATTGTAGCTCGCGACTCAGCTGAGTGTGTTGCAGATGAAAGGTCTATAAACAGAGTAAAACAATTCTAGTTGTTGTATAACTTAACTTCAAGCACTCGACTTAACTTACCTCTATAATGTATTTAACATCATTAAAGTTCTTCAGCGCCAACGCCATAATAGCCAACTGTTCAGGCGTACTTAGCATTTTTGGTATGATGGAGCGTTCTAATGACTGTTTCGCAGCATGCTGCGGTTCTTTGTTGCTTGCACCTCCGCTCAACAGCAGCTGTTGAGCACGAGCGCGACACTGCTCAAGAGTTAGCACCTCAGTTGATAAGCTACCAGCCGCTCCACTAAAGCTGGCCGCGCGTCTTTGCTTACGTGACTTCCGTCTTGTTAGACTGGATGCGTGAAAGCTGCGCTCCCTGCTTTCATCATCGCTGGATGCCTTCTCTCGTGAATGACTATGCAATTGAATCAGCTGAAACATCTGTTCGTGTTCAAAGAGGCAGCCTGAAGCTGGACTTGTTTTCATCAGTGATTGATCAATCTTTTGTAGAACACTGAACTTCCAAAGTGCCTCACTGATGGCATCCACTAGACGTTGAAATCGCCGCTGTTGTTCCTCTGTGGCGTACTTGAAGTCCTGTGTGTGTAGCTTCTTAGTCACGAATCCTTTCAGATAGCTGAACAGTGCATACAAAGCTGGACCCCGACAGATGAAACCGTAGCGACGTTTCTGCGCACTGCTGACATTAGGCGTGCGTGCTGGCGTCGCATCGTCGTCCACATACTGCTCATCATCATCGTTATCTTCATCGTCGTCGTCGTCGCATTCAGTGTGCTTTGTATTTTGTAGCTGCTCCCATCGCAGGAAAACTAGTTGGAATATGTCCTCTAGGAGTGAGGAGAGTGTTACCAGTTCACGTAGCTGACGCAGCTGAGTGGAGAGCAACAGTAATTGATCCCTCACCGTGGTATCGTGTAGCTCCAATATCACATTGTAGACATGACATAAAGCGGTATAGTAGCTCCAGATTTCCAGCTCCTCAACGCGTACGTTCTTGAGCGCTGGTGTTTGCTGTTGCCATTTGTAAGTGTGCTCAATGAGCTGAATCACTTGTTCCTTATCACACTCTATGCCATGCTCATAGATCAACGATAGCACGCCCGGTGCTTGAAGCAGTGCATTAACCTTGATCGTCTTGAAGGCATTCCCATCCTGCTGCTGTTGCAAAAACTTAAGCAGCAAACCGATTCGTTGGAAGTCTGCAAAGAAGAATTGATGCACAGGCTGCAACTCAGCAGGCACTGCAGCTACATCGAAAGCAGCTAGTGATTGATCCAGCTGAGCCAGCTCATCCAATGTCTGTGTGCTCAGTGCAAACTCATTGGCCAAACGGAGAATGAGTAAATTATTTCGCAATGTGCGATCACGAATGCATTCAAAATTTTTTAGCTGCTGACACACCCTGGGTACAAAGTGCTCCCGATGTTTGAGTGCCAGGTGCAGCACAAGCAGACTTGTTGGCGCTGAATTGGTACACACAATTTCCAGTTGCTGTTGTAGCTTGTGCAAAACTGTGTTTATCAACTGTGGATCTTGACGAGCCAATAATGCCAACATCAAGTACTCATTGTTGCATAAGGAATCATTCAGAATATGTTCTATCAAATTCTGATCAGATTGCGTCGTCTCCAATATTTGTTGCGGAACGTTTGCCAGTACGCTGAAGAAACGAGTCGAAGCTGAAGTTGAGATGAATGTGTTATTATCATCCAGCATATGCTTCAACGCCCCACTAACAATGCGTCCCACGTAGAATTTGGACTGATTATATAGCAAGTGTAGTATTTGAAGTATCGGATATGGAGAGATTACTAGCAGACTCTGCAAGCGCTCCTGATGCAACTGGGCACCACTTCCACCAAGACATTTGATGAAGGACTATAAAGACGTAATGATTAATAAACATGAATAGAATGTTGTTAAGCGCATTTGCACCTGTATCAGTTCTTCCTCTTCGCTGGGCAGTAGTTCAAGTAGCTGCTGCAGCTCCGTTTGCTGCTGGAGTGACATTGTGGCTACCTGTTGATTGAGTGTTTGAAAGGGCTGTTTTAATGTATTTAAGGCAATGCATTAAACAGAGTTCATTGCACACTGGCGACTGCCTACTTCAAGCTTCTATGTACATCTGTCAACGAATCATTCGCTGATTGTATCTGCCTATTGTTCGATGAGCCACTTTTGTTTTTATTACACCAGCAACAGCTGCTGTCCTCTTGTTGTTGTTGTTGCTGTTGTTGGGGGTGAGAAGTTGATTTTCGCTGGCGGTACCATAACAAGAGATAAGCGACGCCTGCATATTTTTACCGTGGTCAGCGCTGATTCAATAAAGCGCTGCTTAGAGCGCTCAATAACAATGGAAAGCGATAAACAGCTCAATATGTATTCACACAATCACAAACAAATAATATTATGAACATTGAACAACTGTTTGCAATTAACACAATTTGCTAACACTTTGTCATTCACACAAAACTCCGACTGATAACCAATTTTTTAACTTCAGCATCTTAGCCGTTATACAGATAGTTGAAACTACTCATAGTCCATTTTCTAATAGTTTGATATTCGCAAAACACGCATATTATAAAATTTCGCACAAATATCCATTTTTAACTTTAGGTTGCACGGTATTGGGCTTAGAAGTAGCAACAAAAGTAAGATATACTGTTACATGAAAACTGACCATACATTTTGAATATTAGAAGCCGTTTTATTATATTCCGGTTTAGTTTTGAAATATAAAAAGTGTATCTGTTAATCAAATAGTATGCCAACTTAAATCAATGTAACTTAAACATTAATTTAAAGAAAACATAAATTAATTTAAGCACCATCTGTAAATGCACTTAAGTAAATAAAATGATTCAAGTCATGAATTTCATTATTAATTGTGTACGAGCGAAAAAGAGCCACACCGATAAATCGATAAGTAACAGCAATCGCGCTTGAATTCAAATTGTTAGCTGGTCATTTCTGCACCCACAAATGGACTATAATTGGATTAGTCTGTGGCGGCTAACTTTCAGTCTTCTGTGTGCGCTTTGCTAACTAGATAGTGCTATTTCATCATATTGTTGCACTAGCACGACATGGGAATGCATTTTCAAAGTAAGTTTTCTATTATTCTTTGATCTCATTTATATATAAGTTTAATATTATAGAACTTTTTTGTGTTGGCGCCATTGTCATTGGCTGTTTCTCGGCATTGTTGTTTATTGTTTGTAAATTACATGAAGAAAACATTCCAAATGTATTAAAACTTGAGAGGATTGAACTTGCGTTTGATTATGTTATTGGTAAGTTGTGAATTCGTCGGAGCAGTGGAATATACGCTACAAAATACACTCTTCTAGTTGGCGCTGGCACAGCTGGTTCTACACTTACCTCTCTGCTGGCCAAGCATAGCAATAAAAGTGTGCTGCTTATCGAGGCTGGTGGCTCCTTCGGCTATCTCAGTCGAATCCCTCTGCTAACAACATTTCAACAAAAGGGCATCAATGACTGGTCTTTTCTTTCGGTGCCTCAGAAGCACTCGTCCAAAGGATTGCTTGAGCAACGTCAGTGTTTGCCAAGGGGCAAGGGCTTGGGTGGATCAGCCAATCTAAATTATATGTTACATTTCGATGGACATGGTCCGGACTTTGATTCATGGCATAAGCTGCACAACATAAGTGATTGGAGCTGGACAGACGTGAAACCTTTTATGATTGCTGCCAAATCTAAGAAGGAAGAGCTTTTTGAAATACCGCGCACATACTCCTTGTTATCGGAAGCTTTGGACGAAGCAGCGATGGAATTGATTCATGAACCTTGGCAATTTCGACGCTCTGTTTACAACATAAAGAACGGCCTGCGCCATTCGGTGCTACAACAATTTCTTTTTCCCGTAATCAATAACGCAAATCTTCGTCTGCTTCCCCAGGCACTAGTAAAGCGTATAAAGCTGTCATCAGCGTCCAATCCAAAAGCCAGCTCCGTTCTAGTGGGCATCAAAGATGAGCACAACAAAGAGCGCGAGTTTACTATAAAAGTTCGACGTGAGTTGTTGCTCTGTGCGGGTGCGTACCAAAGTCCGCAACTGCTTTTGGCCTCTGGGATCGGTGACACCAAAATGTTGAAGCAAGTGGGACTACCCGTGGAACATCACTTGCCATTGGTGGGTCAGGGATTACACGATCATTTTAATGTGCCCCTATTTGTTTCTATAGGCATTATCGGACCTACTCTTAATCAGCGCTCGCTGCTTAGTCCCATTAACCTGTTTAACTATTTGAATTCAGGCACTGGTTCCTTTGGGAATTTTGGAGTTCTTGGACATGTAGCTGGCTACGAGGAACCGACGCCTTTTGGCATTACCTTCTTTGGCGCTGGCGCCATAGACGAAACTGCACTCATGTCTATTTCGAACTTCAAGCGTTCGGCATTTCGGGCACTTTTCCCACGCTATCATAATGCTTCTCAAGAAGGTTTTGTTGTCATCTCCAGCTGTTTGCAACCGAGATCTAGGGGCTCTGTTTCACTGCTTCATAAAACGATGCGAAGGAATCCCCTAATTGATCCGAATTATTTAAGCAACGATCATGATGTGGCTTGTACCATCGCAGCCATAAGAAATGCTGTAAAGGTGACAACTCGTTTACAACTTACAAGTTACAAGTTGTAAGCTGCTAAGATATTTCGTAACTTTTTTTAGGTTGTGACATCCTCCGCTTTTAGTAAATTAAGACCTCATATTCATTGGCCCAAACTGCAGGAGTGTGCTAACTTTGGACCATTCAAGAGAGATTTTCTTGAACACCAACCATCGGACAATTATCTGGAATGTCTTATGCGTCACATAGGTCTGGGCTCACATCATCCAGGCGGCAGTTGTGCTCTAGGCGGAGTCGTCGACTCGCAATTAAGGTAATTTCTTTACATAAGATTATCTAATAGGTCTTAATGTTTAATATCAATAAAACCAGGTTGCATGGAATATCCAACGTACGTGTTGTCGATGCTAGTGTATTGCCTCGGCCAATTTCCGGAAATCCAAATACTGTCATTGCGGCTATTGCCATGCGCGCAGCGTCGTGGATACTAAAAAGCGAGCTCCAAAATGATTGAATTAAAAAAATATCTTTGTGAATACTAGCTAATGGTTATTTCCAAATTTGTTATTACAATGCCTTAATTTAATATTTATTGAATATTCGGTAGTATTGTGTTACAGTTTTTCTACTTTGGCCTTAATAATTCGAAGCGGATCCACGGGTCGATCATTCTTATCAGTTTCCACCATACCAATACGCTTCACTACCTCCATACCAGTGTAAACACGTCCAAAAATTGTGTGCTTATTATCCAGCCACTGCGTGGGAGCCAGCGTAATGAAGAACTGTGAACCATTTGTGTCTGGGCCAGAGTTCGCCATTGACAATATTCCAGCACCAGTGTGCTTAAGGTCACTATGCAACTCATCTGCGAATTCTCCTCCATAAACTGAGGTGCCGCCACGGCCAGTACCCGTTGGATCGCCGCCTTGTATCATGAAATCGCGAATAATGCGATGGAACACTACATTGTTATAATATCCGCGCCGGGACAGCTCCGCAAAGTTATAGCACTATAGTTATAAAAAGTCATTAATTCATGAATAAATTGATGCCAAAATATCATACTGTGTTTGGTGCATGTTTCCAGTACAGCTCCACGGTTATTTCGCCCATGCTAAAAATTAGAACCAATGTGCCATAAACGTTTGCCGGTTATTGGTGATCAATACTCACGATGTTTCAAGAGTTACGAAATGTGGTTGCCACGCCTTGTCGGGCACGCTGCCACCTGAAGGATTGGCTAACATTATAAGCTATAACTATATTAGTTGTTAAAGAAAGGAAATAAATATTTTTTCTGCAGCTCTCTTGAGTTTGTGGCGGTAAACTGATATGTTGTCGATAATATGCAATTAGAATATGCTTATCGATAATAGTTTTGTGGGACTGGGAACGAAATTCCGTTAAGTACGAAATGTATTGCTATTATTATAGTATTTTATTAGTATATTATGAAGATTTTCAAGCTGAATTCCAGTACATGCTTAATTTAGTACAGGTGTGTGAATATTATGTATTCCTCACAGTCAAATTAGTCGTCAAATTGATCACAGAGCAGCTAACAATCAAATAAAGGGAATGAAATCACTAAATCTCTGATTCGCACACAGATATGAATAACGCAGAGTGCACTATACTAAGCTCCCGTCTCTCGTCGGATTTTTGAGCTCGTGCAGTAAATTATTGATGTTGATGTATTCCTTATGTACAGCTTATGAGCATCAGGCACACACACATTTTTGTAGCTTTGGTTAATTTTCGAGTTCTTATTTCAAACAGTTTTTTTATCACGTTGAAAATTGAAATTGTCCCAGGTCATTTAAAATAAATACTTAGTATAACGAAATGTCATTAGCTGTATATTCTACTAATAAAAATAAATTTAAATAAATATTCTCATAACTTAATTTATTTAATAAAAATATATATGTATACTGCACCTTCTGATTGTTTGGGAACCGAGAAATAGACATTATGCAAATTTCTTATAGAATTTGGGGGTCAACACTTTTTTATCCAGAAATAAAGCTAAATCACTTGAATGTAAGGTCAGAGCTAAAATATTGAAACTGGACGCTACAGTGTCGCAACGCTCTCTAAGTATAAAACACGCCAACTGATTAGCTAAAATAAACTCATATGTGTGGATTTTGTGCTCTGCCCGGAACCTAAATTACCCCACAATTGACAATTGAGCAAAATTGAATTGAATCACAGAGCCGCCGACTAGCGCCCACAGCTACTGCTAGTAATGGAACCCTCTGATTCAGTGAATCACAGACAAACAGATGTAATCACAATTCGACTTAGTCCACATTGTCACTGCGGAAGATCAGACGTCTGACCGGACTCGGGAACTCGAATCGCAAAATGCATAACATTGAAAACATTCTGGGAGAGCTGCAGCGATTCGCATGGCAAGACTATGTCGCTTTTGTGGCGATGTTTCTGCTATGCATTGGCATTGGCATTTACTTTGGTTTCATGAAGAAATCCGTGTCCGAGGATGATTATATGCTAGGTGGCCGCAAAATGCTGGTAGTGCCCATTGCTTTCTCACTGGTGGCCAGCTTCATCTCTGGCATAACCTTACTTGGACTGCCCACCGAGGTGTACTCGTACGGTACGCAGTATCTATATGTATCTTTCGGAGTGGTTGGCATGGGCATTGTAATGGGTGTCTTTTACTTGCCCGTTTTCCATGACCTGAACATTACGTCCACCTATGAGGTAAGCAAAAATATCTATAAAAGACATCAGATAGAGAATATCAGAGAATAAAGCTATTCCGGCTTAAGCATCCGTACTTTGTAAATATACTTTTACACCCATTCATTTCCATCCCAACTACTACCACCACTTAATTTTTATCACTCATTTAATAATAATAAAAAATTAACGAACTTTTCTTTCAATTATTTTTCTTGTAGTATTTGGAGGTACGTTTCGATCGTCGCCTTCGTTTATTTGGTTCTATTATGTTTGCTATTATGAATGTGAGTATCAGAGGAAAACTCTTACTAACAAACTAAATCTAATCCAAATTATTTTATAGGTAGCATATCTGCCCATTGTGATCTATGTGCCGGCACTTGCATTTAACCAGGTAACTGGAATAGGAGTGCACACCATTACTCCGATTGTCTGCATCATTTGTGTATTCTACACCAGCATGGGTGGGCTGAAGGCTGTTGTGTGGACGGATGTGGTGCAGGCGGTGTCCATGTTGGGCGCCCTTGCTCTTGTGGCCATCAAAGGAAGCATGGATATTGGCGGAGCTGGTGTTGTAGTAGAACGCGCTTGGCATTCAAATAGACTGGAGGCCCCAGAGTGAGTTGAAATAAGTTAAGCTAAAAGGTTTCCAGTAGAATATAAAATTGCTTGTAGTCTCAGCATTGATCCCACAGTGCGTCATACATTCTGGTGCTTATTTGTTGGTGGCATTGTCTACTGGACGCAGACCAATGCCGTGTCCCAGAACATGATTCAGCGCTATCTCTCACTGCCTACCTTAGCAGATGCTCGCAAGGCTCTGGTCATCTTTTGTGTTGGAGTTTTGATTCTGATGGCCTTGTGTGGCTACAACGGATTGCTCATATATGCCACATATCAAAACTGTGATCCACTTACCACCAAAGCACGTACTTCATTCTAGATTTGCTTGCGCGAAATTATTTTTATCGTCCATTTACCTCTGTCCACAGTTGGCAAAGGCACGTGATCAACTTTTGCCTCTTTTTGTGATGGACACGCTGGGCGAGTTGCCTGGAATGACGGGTCTATTTATTGCGGGTGTCTTTAGTGCAGCTTTGAGCTCGCTCTCCACGTGTCTGAACTCCATGTCCGCTGTTGTCCTCGAGGACTTTGTGAAACCTTATGTTAAGAAACCGTTATCAAGTCGAGCCACCAACTGGATCATGCGCCTGGTGGTCGTGGGCATTGGAGTGCTTTGTGTGGCCCTCGTCTATGTGGTTGAACATATGGGAACTGTGCTGCAGCTCACCATGAGCCTGGAGTCAATAACTAATGGACCTCTATTTGGCATCTTCACAATTGGCATACTTATGCCCTGGATCAATGGAAATGTGTGTATAATTGATTTCAATTGATTGACGTCTTCAAAGCAGGTTATATTCTTCTAGAGCGCTATTCTCGGCGGCTGCGTTGGAGTTTTTGTCATGTCTTGGGTCAGCCTAAATGCTCAGTGGGCCATTGCATCGGGCGCCATTCGTTATCAAACAAAACCATTAAACGTTGATCAGTGCAGCTACAGCTTCAATGCAGCTGCTTTGGTTTCCAGCGCTGCCAATGCCACCCATATCCATGGCCCCACAGCAGAGTAAGTGGCTCTTAAGTACTGATGGTTTTTTATGCTGTGTTGCTATACAGCTCTTCTGCAATACTTCTTTCATTTCAGGGATATATTTCCCTTGTATAGAATATCATATATGTGGTATACAACTCTAGGCGCCTCGGTTACCATAATCGTTTCACTGCTCAGCACTCTAGTCTTTGGCACTAATAATCCTAATAAAGTTGATCCAGTATTGCTTACGCCTTGTATTCGAAAGTTCTTTAAGTGTAATCCTGACAAGCAAAAGGTAACTACAAATTTTTCCGTTAAAAACAGGAAATAATTATTTAATTTTAGATCGAAATTCCTCTTCAACACAAGCTGCGCAGCGACGAGGTCGCTCTTTAGTAAATTCAATTTGGATCGAATCTAATATAATACATATAAAGAATATATACATACATTGTATACATACCTAAGTGAAAATATATTGTCTAAGCAAATCAGATATACGTTACAAATATAAAGGTTTTTTATTAAATGCTTTATAACAAATATTAAATACGATTAACACAATGGGCTGTAAGACATGCGCTTTAGAATTCATATAGCTGCGTTGGAGACTGTTAATTTACTTTTGCTGTGCCTTAGTCAGCAGAATGAGCCGTTCGGATTCATTGAGATGCTCGTAAAACGTGGGAAAGTGTTCGTTTTGAGTAAAGTTGGTGAGAAACTTTTGTAAATTTTCGCCAATGTCGCCCGTGTAGTTGCACTCTTTCAGCAGCACTTGCAGCACTTGCTCATCCTCGACATTGTCCTCGTCGAAATCAAAACACAAGTCAGAAATGTAGCGCGGTTTGCTGGCATTGCCAGGAGCGTCATCTTCTTCGGTTACTTCATCCTCAGAGTCTGTAAGTGGCGCATCTGTTTTACCTTCTTGAAAGTGCTGATACTCGGAAATGAGAACTTTAAAAATCTTTACAAGTGCGGGAATTGTAACCCATTTTTGATAGCTCGACGCAACTGAGCGAGTGCGAATGCGATCGCCGCTCGGTTCCTCTACTAGTTCCTTGTACGTTATGGACGTCAGACGATTATCCTGCGTGGCAACGCCATATTCAAAAAGCTTGCAGAGCGCCATGGTGGTAACCTGAGGAATATCATAAAAATGTTATTAGACTTCATTTCCAGCTTATGATGATTATTTGTGAACATACTTTGCGCTCGTATGCCCCAAAGAAGGAATTTTGACGTGACAGCCAATTGGTAAGAACAAATTGCAAAGCAGGCTCGCCATTGGGTCCGGGAACCGTAGACAAAAAGTTAAGCACCGCATCCATTTGGGTAAGGAAGAGATGAGCGAATATGAGCACCAAATTCATAATGACCTTCAGGCACTCGAGGTTCTGCATCTTGCTAATGACTGCCTTTAGAAGCATATCGACTGTTTGGCCCAGCATGCTGCCCATTTTAGTGATTATGGTGATAATCAGTCGACCGATCTGGCCACCAGCCGTCATCTCGGCATTCATGGGATTTAGCAAAACCGTTGCAACCTGCATCACATAGTTGACACCCTCGCCGTTTTTGTAGTTGCAAATCTGCTCCGGCGAAACATTGATAAAGCTACGCAGGCACTCCCCGCCGGCAACCATTACGGTGTGATCGTCCGTATGCAGGACACAGTTGATCATGGCGGGAAATGCACTTTCCAGCAGAGCATTGGGCAACGGCGGCTCCGTGTACCGGACAATTGTGTTAAGCACATCCAGAGCAATATCCTGCTTCTCGCCACATTGCTCACCTTGCAACGCAAGTATGCTAACAATGGTCGGTATGAATTTCTCTTGCAGCGGTCCCAGACACTCTTTGCGTTGGCAAAGCGCTTTGATCAGATCTTGAACATTTTCCAAAACAAAGGGATCCTCTGCATACTTAAGAAATGCTGCGATGGTCAATGGTGTGATTTTAGGATGCGCCGCATATGCAAAGTCCGCATCAAACTTGACCATCATCGTAAGAGCCTCCATTATCAGCGCTAGAACAGTCGCCTTGCAGCCAGGCACTAGGGTCATGATACCGTCTAGAAAACCAGGCAGCTTGGAGACGAGCAGTGTGCGTTTCTCCCCCTCAACATTTTCATTGGCTTGAAGAAACCCGTGCAAGGCGCGAACAGCGCTGATGCGTAAAATGTGTGACTTATCCGGCGATAGACTGCACAGCGTTACATCTAAAATCTCAATTATCATCTGCGGATTATACAGATCCGACTTGGAGTACGTGCTGAGGGTCCAGAGGGCGCGGCCGACCAGATGAGGCGATTCTTGATGTACCAACAAATTTCGCACAATTGTCAGATAGTTAAGCAAATCAAATTTGGAATCCCCCTCGAGTATTATGTCGCGAAAACCGTGAACAGCATCCATGCAAGCTTCATGAATTTTCCACCAATTTGGATTGTTTGCTTCTTTCTCCGCCTCTGCTACACTAAAGTGGCGCCCCAGAGCTTCCTGCAACGGTTGTATGGCTTTCACACCGAATTCGTCATTAATGGCCTGGAATAGTTTAGATGGTATAAATATATTAGCTATCAAGTTACCAACCAGTCGAGTCAAATATTTATAGCATCATATACTTAATTTTATAGTTTTGTTTGTTAAACAAACAAACAATTCGAATGAATATACCTCTAGACATATTAAAGACATCATTTACTATAAACATGCACCTTCTGATATTACAATCATTGTTTGTTATTAATGATATTATTACATATTAATGGATAAAGGAGACTTACCAGCAGAACATCACGGCCACACATGCGTACAGTTAGCTCGACGCCGCCATCGTCTTCGTCGTCAACAAACTTCTCTGGATCCTCTTGCCAGTCCTCGAGCTGCTCCTCGCCGAGCTGAATATACACGATAGTTATGTAAATTAAATCCGCAAGAACATTTTTAATATTGCCACGCAGCTTGCCGCAGGTGACAATGCAGTTAATGAACTCAAGAATTTGTATTATCAGCGTTTGGAAATTGGTCTGCTCATCTTCTTCTTCATAGTCGCTGGTTGCTAAGGGATTTGCTTCCGTCTGATTGACAGATACTTTTACATAAGTTTCCGCTATTTGTGTAAGCAACTGCCAAATAATTGGCAATATGCGTTCCATAAATGGATTTATATACTTCGGCATATCAGTCACCAGATAAGTGAATACTGCAAATAAGTAAATGATATAATTTATATATGAAACATTATTAAAAGATGATTTACCTTTTATGATTTCGGAACGCAGCAGAAAGCTGGATCCAGCGCCGCAATTCATGCTGAGATAGTGGACGAGCTTGTCCATAAAATTTGACAGAATTGAGCTCATCATGGAGCTTTGCTCTTGCTTGTCAGTTATCAGCGCTGAGATAGACATGAAAAGTTGCTTCAACGTTCGTATCGCAGAAACTCGCGTCTTAATGGAATAATTCTGCTCCGAATCGAAAATGCGATATACCTCGGGTATGACCACAGGACCTAGCTCCTTGATTTGTTCTACATCGTAGGTAAAGTCTTGCAGTACTTGCATAGCTCCATGTATGGAATCCTCATTGCCTCCCAGACATTTGACTATAATGTCAAACAGCTCTGCCCAGCAATGTGGATAGTCTGTGGCCGCAATTGTGGATATCGTGTGTGCCACCGATGAGCGTATTTTAGAGTTGGGATCGTACAGGCCATTTGGCAATATATTTCGAATTGTGCGCTTGGCTTGTTCGGTGGCCATATGTCCACTCGCTTTATCCGTTTCTTCCAGATCTGTCCAATGGTTTTCCACATATCGCGTCAGCATTATAATAGCTATTTGGCGCAATGGTAACTCATGGGATTGATTCATTATTATCTCTGACAAGTAGACTCCATACCCTGAAATTTAAAACTATTAGCATCAGGTAGACAACGCCTTCATTTGCCCGCCAATTTGCATGCATACCTTCAGTATATTGCAATTGCTTGTTACGCTTTTCCGCCTGTTGCAAAACAGTTGTATCCGAGCTTAAAAGATTCTGCAACTCTTCGATTATTGCTTGTTTTACAGAATCGCCGCCACCGCGTACCGCACCGACGCCAACTTCGCTGTTCGACATGATAAAGTATCAAATTCAAATATACGGAGAATGCACAGAAGCGTTGCAATGATATTAGCCGCAGAAGATCGCAGCACATGTGAACTGCTGTAAGTTCTGTTTAAACCTTTTTGGTTTGTTTTATAACACTGTCATTATTAAAGTTGAATATTGCGATGATTTTATAGTCACAGTGACTTTCTAACTAAAAAAAGAACAGCACCGGTTTCCTGTTATCGTTGTCACAAATTGAAATCGAATATTGGTAAATGGTGAGTCACTATAATTATACTTGTAACTATAAAAATTTACTAGTAGTATAGAAATTTTCATCTTCGACTATATATGCTAAATTTATTTTAGTTCTGCAGCATGTGATATCAGTAGTAACTATAGAATACTTTCCGTATAAGTGTGTTTTACAGTCGTTGTACAGCACTATTTCTTATAATCATCGTATTGCTCTGCTGCTGCCGCCTTTGACCTGCTGTAAATTTATTACAATTTATAAGAATAAATAGGAAATAAAAGCAATATGACGGGTATTATGGATACAGTAGAAATGCCAAAATTACCGGAAAACCAAAAAACTTTCGCGGGGATACCAGAAGCAATATTTTTAGTAAGTAAAAATTGCAGGCATCGTCGGCCATTGATGGGCCAATTGAAATTCTAACCTAGTTTGCGTTCAGCCAAAAACAGCTGTAGAAAATATTCCATATTAATCATCAATCGTGTTCACTTTGCAGGAGGAAATTGATACATTTATGACACAGCCCGAGAACGAAAATTGTGAGAAAGTGTTGCAACGACTAGACGAACAGCATGGCAAATATCGATTCATGGCCTACAACTTAGAGGCGCGCCGTCACAAGCTAAAATCTCAAATACCCGATCTGGAGCGTTCGTTGGAAATGGTCAATGTGCTGCGCAAAGAGGACGAGGAGCGCGAAACGCAATTTCTGCTCAGTGATCAGGTCTTCATCAAAACGTTAGTGCCGCCAACAAAAACGGTTTATCTTTGGTTGGGCGCTAGCGTTATGTTGGAATATCCCCTAGACGAAGCGGAATCGTTGTTAAAGCAAAATATTACATCCGCTGTGGGCAATCTTAAGTCTGTCGAGCACGACCAGGACTTTCTCAGGTGCGTTGATTAATACTATTTGTCGTGCAATGCACTGATATATTTTTTCCTCTCCACAGAGATCAAATAACCACAACCGAGGTTAACATGGCGCGAGTTTACAACTGGGGCGTTAAAAAGCGGCAGGCCGAAGCTAAAACTAACGCCAGTAATACGCCTTCCTAGATAACTCTAAAAAAAAACTTTAAAAAAATTAAGCAAGAACTTACACAAGGTAAATCGGGTGTTGTCCCTTATATATTATTTATTTATTGAAAAATATATAATTTTGATATCTGATGCCCGATGAAAACACAAAACACTTAAAAAGATATAATCAGCTCGCAGTGCTTTCAAAATTATATTACAAATCACAAAGGAGACGCAATTGCATTTTTCACTTGTTTAATTCTTGTTCTCGATTATAATAAATACATTCAATGCAGAAATTAAGCTTTAGTATTTAATGAACGTGGAAACATTCTATATTTAAATGTTTCGTGATGTGCCTCTTGAGATTCCACAAAAAGGCAGATGATGGAATCAGGAGCAGGATTTGTTGACTTCGACTAGCCTTTGCCGTCATTTATTCATTTTAAAAATTACTACACATTTAATTCGGTTTTCTTTTTTAATTAAAATAACAAATGTTCTTTTTACCTAAATAAGTAAATTATTTATTCCCACTTCATTGCCTGGTGTATGTAGTCGCCGTCAGGGCTTACATAGTCTTTGATAGGAGGCGTTGCGACTGGCCCTTTTACATATACTGGTAGTAGCTTCAGGTCCACTTGTATGGCCGCTTGGTAAAGCTCTTCGGACTCAAGACGCAGCTCCTCCAGCGCTTTGTTTTGTGATTGGACCAAGCGGTCAATGATTTGAAAATCTGCCACCTTCTCTTCGTGTTTGTAGTGGGCCCATTGTTTCTTCAGCAGTGCACGCTGCTCCAGCTGCGCAGCGCCCAAGGGTGTTAACTTTCGTTCCCGTTGACTATAAAACCAAAAAGCCAAATGATTACTCACTGGAACATGTGCGCACGGAATCAATCAACTTACGCCTTGTTGTCGATTAATTCTAAAGGCACCTCTAGCTCTTCTACCGGTTTTAGTTGTCGCGCATTCTTCTCTAGCCTGCGTATCTGCTTCTCGATTTTCTTTTTTTTACGGTCTTCTCTCTGCTTTATGATCTGTGGGTCGAGCTTTTTCTTTTTCTTCAAGGGCTCGGCGCAAAGCACTGGAGTTGTGTGCAGGAAACGTGAGGCAACACCGCTGCTCTGTAAAGTCAGCCTGTTTGTGAATGAAATGTATGTCTATTTTATAAATAAAGCTGGTTACTGAGAGTGTTGTTTAATTACCTGGAAAGTACGCTGACAAGCGACATTTTTCATAAACAATTAAGCTTAAAGCCGAAACACTGTTTGCGTAATGTGCTGCTTCTTCCCGTATGGTGTTCAACCGAGTATTTGTTTTATCGACTATCGATATACCAACATATGATCAGGGCTGCAACGCTTGGGTAACGTGAAGGGTTTCCACCCATTTCGCTTTTATATTTGAAATAACGGTGGTTATCTAAGTCTGGCGCATGTGAATATTTGAAGCCGACTATTTTTGTAGAAATGTAGAAATGTAGTCTACTGTAGACAATAATAAGTATTGATTTCCGCATTTTTACTAGTCTGTTGAAGTATTAACATAAATATTTGTTTTTTTTTTAGAAAACCACAAATATTTTAGTACATTTCCACGAACAGAATTCTAAATTAAAAAACAAAACCATTATACCCTGATTTCCAATTTTCAATGGGATCAGGGTATAATTATAATCTACATTGCAATATATTAGCGATTCTTTTAACTTTAAGTATTTTATTTAGTTTCGCATCTCACATTTAATGGAAAATATTACGTTCCATAACTTCTCCGTATCAAATAAAACAACGAAATTTTTTTTACTATTTTTATACGATTTTAAAACTTTATTTTTAAAGATGAAAATAAACAATATACTTTTATTATGTGTTTTTGTTGTTTTAGTAAATTTTACATAATTTTCAATAAAATAAGTAGTTTTTTTTTGGTTTTGGTTTTTCGATTAAAAATGTTATATTATAGTTTAGTGTTTGTTGTTGTTTTGCCTTCCCCTCATGCATTTATTTCTTTGTTTGTTTGTTTTTTTTTTGTTTTTCATTCCTTACATTGTTGCATAAATATAAATTTATGTAATCATATTTGCTTATATACCAAATATTTAAATTTTTCTCTTACACTTTTTTTCAGTTAATGCTGCGTTACGTTCTATGGTTTTTTTTGTTAATTTTTTTTATATTTTTTAATGTTTTGTTTATTCTAAATGTTGTCTCGAAATAAAAAACCAAATTGTCGATTTTTGTCTTACGAGAAAATTACAAATTTTGTGCGAGTCTGCATGAATGATCGTTCCTGCATTACGGTCCAGACAAACGTTTCGAAGATTTCAAAATGTACACCAAAAGTGAGTAAAATAGAGTAAGAAACGGAAGCGAATATCAACTGAAACCGAAATCGAAATCATACCATATACGTACATATATATATATATATATATATATATATATATATATATAAACATATATAGATATTTGTGATTTCCGATTTTTGCTTTCGAAATGAGTTAATCATATTAAATTTAATATATAGCATGATTGATGCATTATACGCAGTCATTATCATCATTGAATTGTGAAACTTTCGATTTTCATTTATGCATCTTGCGTATTACATTCATAATTATTTTGTTTTCCATTGTGGTAAATAGTTATTGTGTGTGTGAGTGTGGGTGTGTGTATTTCTGCTCTTTGTAGGGAGGAGGGTCTCATAGAGGGTTATGTCGTCTATTGTTATTACATATACTTATAAATGTAAATTGTTTGCCATTAGTTTTTTTATATTTCAGATCTCTTTTTTTTTGTGTGTTGCCTTTCCACGTTGTGTTGAAAGTAAGTTTTACATATGTGTGTATGTACGTTAAGTTTGTCAATTCATTTGAAATGATGTTCGAAATTTCAAAATGAAATACAATAATTGTATAGTTGTTAGTGTTTTCTGTCAAGTTGGAATTTAGAAAATATATTATTAGTGCCAGGCTTTGTTGTTGTTATTTTTTATGTTTTGTTGGCTTTCAATTCCGCTTAGTAATAATCAAAATACAAAAACAACAAATTGTGTGCTTAAATTGAAATTAAAATATAATATAATCGTATATGTTTTCGAGGGTCTTGTTTTTTTTTATTTAACAGCGCTCTAATCTGCCAATTTCATATTGAAAAATTGAATTTTCTGTTTGGTTTCAAATATTTAATTTGGTTTCTTTTGAAGCCCTCAGCACTTAGTTTTTTTTTTGGCAATTTTTGAGCGCTTTAATTACCGCTTATTTTATAATTACATTGTAAAAGTTATTTCTAAAGTTGTTTGTACTATTTCTTGGAAATAATTCCGGTCTATTGCTGTATAACTCAAGATGTTTGATTTTTGACTTAGCTTTTGGTTTTCATTTTGTAAAACTTAAATAAAAGTTATTTTTGCAGTTGGATTTCGTTTGACTTGGCTCTGAAGTTATAAATTTTAGACTTTGGCATCTATCAATCGAAAACGATGCGTCTCACTTTTGCCCAAAGGTTGGAAATTTGGAATGTCGAAATGGTTGCCGAAAATGGTAAATACATTTAAAGTGGTTCTAAGCAAAACCCATGCACATTTACTTCCGTTCCTGCTTCCGATCCATTCACATTACGTATACGCAATGTAAAAAAGAAGAAATTTAATGTTGGTTGTTTGTTAATTTTTGTGTTGAGCTCCGAAATTGTGAATCGTAATTCGTAATTCATAATCGATAAATGAGTATTCATACATACTTATATATACATAGTGTGTGTGCGTGTAAACACTTTTAAATGAATGCATATTCATAAATTAATAATAATTAATGTTCATAAATTGTAAATTTTAAATTTTGCTAATTTTCGCTAGTTGTTTTTTCTTAAAAATGTTTCGAAGTATGTTTTAACTCACAACTCAATATTCTAAACTGAATAATGCAAATATATATATATGTGTGTGTATGTGTATATGTGTATGTGTGTGTGAAATGGGCGAAAGAAGCACAAAAGGGACACTCGTATATTTAATTGGTTTCCTTTTAGTCTTTTAGTTTTGTTCTCAGTGAACTGCTTGCTCCGCACTGCTTGCTGTTCGCACTGCTTGCCTCTACCTTCTATATATGAATATATGTAGATGCGTCTTTTTGCTTATATGCACACATATGCAAATATTCAATTTCTCCATTCATATTATTTTTATCATATGTTTTTTTGGTTTTTTGTTTTTGTTTTTGTTTTTGCGTATCGGTAGTTGAGTTTTAGCTTAAATTTAGTTGCATTATAGCTTATTGCCGCCTCTTTAAGTATGCCGTTCTTAGTTCTCTTGCAATCGTTCGTTTAGCTTAACTTTCGTTTTAAATATGTATGTATTTTTTTGTTTTTGTTTTTATATCCACCTAAGATCTAAACTAAATGTAGTACAGTGTCTTGTGTACGTGTGTGTGTGTACGTGTGGGATAGAAAGTAATACATTTATTAATGAGCAACTCAGCGCTATATGTGTTAGGTATATGCCTCGTAAGAGTAGTCAATGTATATCCAAACCTTTTCATTTCTAAACACTAAATCATTAATTTCATACTTATTTTCGTTTTTCGTGTTAATTTTGGTTTTTGTTTTCGTTTACATACTATAACTAAATACACGTTTATGTACTTGTATGTATATCGCTTACTTAGATAATCAATCTCAACTTGCTAATGGGGAATTTTGTTTATGACGGAACTTAGGATTTGCGCTTCGATATTCCTTGTCGAATTTTGTCGTTGATTAAATAAAAATACTTATTTTTGCTGAGTAAATAGGTCGGTCGGTTGGTTGGTTGGTTGTTCGTTCGTTCCGCATTGCCCGAGAGACTTTGTAGTCAGGCCAAGTATGTTGAACAGCTTTGGTATTTGCTTGAATGCTGGTCTATTTGGAGCCTTTTCATTTTGTTTGTTTTTCGCTTAGATTTTTAAATTTGTTTTATCTTTTTACAATTTTCTTTTTTATACAATTTTATTAGTAATTTCATTTTTGGTTTTTGTTCCTTTGTTTTTTAGTTACATAAAAAATTAACAGTTTGTTTTTTTGGTTTTTTTGTTTTTTTTTTTTTTTTGGTTTTTACTTTTGTTACATGAAGGCACTTTAGATCGGACGTTGTGGCCCCATATCAAAAATTGCTTTTAACTTTTGCTTAACTCGTTATCACTTTCTGTTTCTGTTGTTGTTGATCTTGATTGGTGTTTTCCTTGTGGTTGTGTGCGTGGAGACGTAGTCGCAAAATAACAAATTAACAACAAAAGCTTAAGTAATCGAAAGTTGTTCGAAACTCGCCGAAAGATTGGTTCGAAATGTTACCGAAATTCCTTGATTCGAAACTTGTCTTCTTAGCCTTGTCTTTTGCTCTGCTTCTGCATCTGCATCTGTTGCCTTTTACCATTTTTGCTTGTATTGAATTTTGTATTGCCTTCAGTGCTATTGGTTGCAAATCGGTCATGGATGTCCAGGATGTGCAGGCTGCTGAGCCCCTTTTTTTTAATTTTCTTCGGGCTACTGCCTTGCACTTTTGGTTTTATTTCAGGCTTGAGAGCTGCTCAGACTTTGGCCTGCTATACAAATGAAATCTCTGTCTCTGTACTGCGGATTGCGGGTAGATAAGTGAATTATTTAAATTTTTTATTGCCATGCTGTAACGGAAGTAACCGAAGAAAAGGCCGATGAAACGTCTATAAGAACTTAAAACCGGTTTGCCTAACTGATATATAAGTACAGGAATATCGAGCACAAGTCCCAAGAGTTCTTCACAAAGTTAATCAACGGAAATATTCGAAACGTGGGCACACTTTATATTCGTTAATAGATACATATATTACATATGTCTAAGTGGATATACATACGCATTATTAGAACTAATTGTTAGGGACTGAATTTCGATTTTCGATTTTTTTTTTTATAATTTTCTTGTCTACAATTTTTACATAGAGATTTCTTACGTTCTTATAAATTTTTGCCTCATCAACATCTAACTTAAGTACTGTCCATGATTTTCTTTATATTTCCTTTTTATACACCTAAACATTTACAAAGGGTTCAATAACACAAGATTTTAAGCATTTTACTTTTGGTTTTTTTTCTTATTTTGTCTTTTTTTGTTTTGCTTGGGCATAATAAAGTAGAGAAAACCTTTTCTAATTTTTGTTTTTGCTTTTTTTTTTGTGGTTCTGTGATTTGGTTGTTCTGCAATTTCATCTGAGCTTCAAACCGTAATTTTGTTAAATTTATTTGATTTTTGTTTTTGGTTTTTGAATTTTGAAATCTGCAGCGCCTTTTGACGACGATTTTG